TCATTGGAAATTTTGTACGTATAGATAATGGCGAACCTGAACCAATGCTATTTTTAGGTATGTCAAATATTCGAAAGCTTCAAGGCATCCCTGAGCCAAATAAAAACCAGTTTCGCATAAAGTTACATAGGAAGACCTATGTTATTCCAACATATAACAAAGCTCCAGTAGCTAAGGATCCGCCAAAAGAGAAGCAGGACCAAGTATTCACTGATTCCTCTAGCCCGATTAGTAAAGACTTAAAAAAAAGTGCATAAATTGTATGAATTATAGAAATATGGCAATTCGTATGAAAGAGCTCGAAAAAGCATTATTTTCTAGCATTCAATCGAATTTGGAAATCATAGGATACTATAATAGTTTGCTTAAACGATGTGAAACCCTGCCTTCTCCCAATTCTTGCTCAAAGACAGAGACTAGGTAATCAATTGAGGGGTTCACTTGTTTTCTGCCTTCGAGTAATGAAATTATGAGAAGGCGGGATAAGAACACGACCAGATGCTCTAATTTTTTCTATATCATTATTAGTTCTCTTAAATAATTCTAAGACATCTTTAGAGGATTCAGTAGGCGAAATAATTTCTTTTTTTGTTTCAAGCATTAGCTGATTCTAAGTAATATTTGGTTCAGAGATGCTGGCGGACTTGAGATAATCCCCTTGGGACCGTTTCTTTCCTCCAGTCTTTTTTGCCCTACTGTTTGTACTTTCTTCTGAAACTGGATCAGACTCTAAATCCGTTCTATTCTGTTTATCTATATAATTTGTATTCAAATAGAAAAGCAGGACTGCTGAATAGTTCCATTCGACTCTTCCTATTTCCTGCCCTCTCCAAATCTGATATAAACAAGAAGTTGATACATGGAATTTTTTTCTTAATTGATCCAAAGGCTTGGACTTCATATCCCGGTATTGCATAATGTCTTCATAATCTGCTATAGATAATTTCGTAGCATCGAAGCACATATATCTTCTGAGTGAGGGATTGATCATATTAGTAGTCGATCAGATTTTTATACTATTAATAAAAAATCTGTATGCGAAATATTAATACTATGTGGACTATGTGCATTATCAAAACTATGTGGACTATGCGCATTATCAAAACTATCCAAAGAACCAGTATTATGCGGAGTATCAGAAGGATTAATTCTACACATAATATGAAGACTATTTGTGGTATTAGTAAAAAATGTATATAAAAAAATTTTATCCATTCATTTATGGGGAAGTTCAGCATATAAATCATATATGCTTTCTATTTCTTTATCCCAGTTAATATGATCAGATTTTTTTTGGTAAAGTAACAGAGCGTGAAATTTTTCTTGGCAAATTTCGCTTACGGGCCATTAGGGAAAAGCATATAATATATTTTTTATTTTGAACGCTTATATTACAGTATGCTTCTGTGAAAGATCTTAGATATCTACACATAGCTCTTTTTATCGGCATTGCTTAATATTTAATATCTTTTTTTTTCTCTACTTCATAGCCAGCCTATAATTATGTCCAATATGCATACATTAAGAAATATCGAGAATAGAGGTCATCGGCTTGGTAGCATCCGCGAATCAGAACTTGAGAATGCATTGCATAGTAGTATCAAATCTGCTTCTGATCCTGCTAATAAATATAAAGACCTGCAAGGTGTATATTTAAAGCAAAAAAAGAATCTTGAGCTAGTTCAAGCTAATACTAAAAAAAAGATTAGCCAGCTGAATGCGTCCAATACTAGGCTTAGATCTTCTGAACGGTCATCCCATACTGAAATCCAATCGCTCAAATCTGAGATTAAAACACTAAAGAGAAAAGCGACCCTTGTCCAGAAAGCTTTGTCCCTTGACAAGGATGAGATTCTTTGTCTTAAAGGTGAAATAGATAAACTGAAAGCCGAAGTAGAAGAATTGGAATCGGAAATAGAATTAGAACACACATCTCATGATTCAGATACCACTTCATTTATGGATAAAATAAGTGAATTAAATTCCCTTAATTGTACATTGGAGCAGGAAAGGGATGATTTAAATTCAAAGAAACATGAATTGGAAGCCGAGGTAGAGTGTAAGGATTCTGAAATCACCTCTCTTGGAGCTAAAGTAAATGAGCTAGAGAAAGTAGAAAGAGGCCTAATATGTAGATATGGGTTAATTAGCTGTCTCAGGTCTAGAGTAAGGGAATTGGAAGATTAGTTAGAACAACAAATATCCCAGTCATCTCACGAATCGAACATAATTGGTGGAGCTGAAGCAGATCCAGACTCAGCTAAGAACTCTTTGGAAAAAGAGTCTCTTTCTCAAGAAACCAATACTCATTTAGCAGAGCAGATTTCGAAAGCATCCAGTAAGTTTAATAAAGTGATTGGAGGTGATAGCGGACCAGAGAAAGGTAACGAAATCACTAGCCCTGAAATAACCTCAGTATCACTCAATTCTTTCTTTCAGCAGAATGCTGTCTTCATTATAATAATATTACTAATCATATACTTTCTATGGCGCATATCCTCTTATATATATTCTTTTATTCTACTTCTCAATAAAGAAAAAAATATTTCGAATTATAAAATACTCTTAGATAGAAATCAGAGTTATGGATTCCCAATCTGTCATACAAAAAAATTCAAAACTACCTCCTATGAAATTATTCCTTATGGATATAGATGAAGCTAATAAACATAAATCAATTCGAAATGTTGAACATCCAGCAATGTCATGGCCTTTCAGTAAAGTATTTACTGGTATGAGTGGTAAAGGTAAGACAAATATAGTTGGAAATCTTGTTCTGGGAGATAAAGCTGAAAATATATACAAAGGTAAAAAAGGAGGATCCCGATATATTAAGTGTGATGATTTGATAGTTTGTGGATTTCATCCAGATGAGCCAAAATGGGCATTTGTTAGATATATGTATGGAGTAATCGCAGGTAATCCTAAAGCACCTTACTATGAAAATATAAGATTTAAATATATCTCATCTGAAAAAATTCCTAGTGTAAAATCATTTTCTCCAGAGAGAAGTACTGTAATTATTTTTGAGGATTTATGTGTAGCTCCTGAGTCTATCCAAAACTGAATTATTCCATTCTTCACACATGGGCGTCATCGGAATATTAGTCCAATTTATATAATGCAAAAATATCATCATGTCCCGATAATTATTCGTGAAAATCTTACCCACTTAGTTATATTTAATAGGGGCAGTAGTTATCAGGAAGTGTCCAAAATAATTGGACGATATACTGATGATGTTAAGAATACATCAATGGTTATTAATAGTTACCTTCAAAAAAATGAATTTATTGTATTTGATCTTACAGGTAGTGTTCAAAGATAAGCGCTTATCACGGCTTGCTATGGCTTAATGCGGCTTATCACGTGATAAATTCGAATTTATCACCAAACTATGTGATATATTCGAATTTATCACACGATATCTTCGTGATTATCACATGGCTTGGTGATAAATTCGAATTTATCACGTGATAAGCTGCAGCAAGCCGTGATAAGCCGGCTTGTCTTTGAACACTACTTACAGGTCAGAGGATGATCCATTAGCAATTCGTTTAAGATTCGATACTCCACTAGATTTGCAGAAAGAGATAGAGTTACGTCAAAAGCACAAGATAAAAAATGCATTGCCAGCTAAGCTCATGAATTCTGAATCCAAAAAAACTAAAAAATCAGCCACGTAAAAGTCCTGCTTCGCAAAAATGAAAAGTTTATTAGTATTAATCTCTTTTTTTTCTCATCTTTTAGAAAAAAGATATAGTGTAAGCTACTAGGGTAATATATATATAGAGGTAATATATATATTTCTGCTATCTATTTTTCTGGCTTCGAGTGATAAAGTCTCAAGAAGGTGGAATTTTTATTTTACATCAACACTTTTCTATCTGAGTTGATATAAAGAGCCAAGATGATTTGTTTGTTTACAAACTTCCAAAGCACTTAATTGTATTATATACTCAGAGATATAAAAGTGGCTTGCTATACAAGAAAATTATTGATAAAAAGATATCTAATTGTGATCTCGAGAATAGCATTAGGAAAACGATGGACAACTACTCTATGCAAAAAAAATGTTACCAGCTTTCCTTTAGGAAAGATAACGAAATAAAGTCTAAAGTACTAGCCCTCGGAAATACTTTAGGTTGTTTTATTTTAAATAGATATATATATGAATAAGTTATATAATTAATAAATCAAATAAATAGATT